TTTCACTTAACATTGTATTCTCAAGTTGTATCCATTTACCTATGAATGTCTCAAGTTTATTTTTATGGCAAAGTAGTGCTCCACTGGGTATAAATACCACATTTTAGCCAGGTGTGCTGATACATGCCTGTAATCCCAGCACTTGGGAGGCTGAGGCAGGAGGATTACTGTGAGTCTGAGGCCAGCCTGGGCTACAAAGTGAGTTCCATAGCAAAACCCTGTGTCAAAAAGACAAACAGACAAACCACATTTTCATTATTCATTCATCTGTTGATGGACATATGCTGTTTCTCAGACCATGCTGTTATAAGTTGTCCTGCTATAAACATGGGTGTGCATGCATCCTTCTAGTCTAGCAATTTATATTTAAGAAATGATCCCATACCTAAAAAAAACACTGTTAAGAATGGACATGAGATCAAATGTACTTACCACAGTACTACTATACTGGCAAAAGCCACACCTGAACACAGAATAAATGCCCATGGGTGGGAAAACGGTTTAAAAATGTGTTGAAACACACGTTCCTAAAAATTATGCAGCATTTAAAAAGACTGAGTCAGAGCTGTAACAATTTACTTGGAGGGCGTTCTGTAAAATGTACTGTGTTTTTTCAAAAAAGCACAAGGCAGAAAAGAGTCCATAAGATCATTATAAACAAGGAAAATCCGAACCTTCTGTGTATGTATGTTGGTGTACGGTTCAGAGTGTTGTTACTCCAGAATTCCTAGAAGGTGAGAGGGAAGGGTGCTGATGGGACACAGTGGGGTTGGGGGCGCTGCAGAGGTGAGGGGCTTGGGAGAGAAAATACATTTGCAAAAGTTTGCATCAAGCAAACACACAATGAGTATAGCATGATCACATTTTATCGCTTATGTAAAAGGGTATAGGTTCATCTATGTTTAGAGATATTTTAAAAGTAGAGTGGAAAAAAAAGGAACTCAGATCTGCCCCAGGAAGCTAGAGACAGCGGGGCAGCACAGGCACAAGCAACACTAGACAGGGGTGAAAGCCTGGCCCACCTTTTGCGCAGCAGCCCCGCACTTCCCACTGGTCATGCGTCTTCCAGAACAGAAGAAAGCACAGGCCTAGAATAGCTGATGGAGTCTTGGGGAATTTACTTACCGTTTTCCTCATGCTGTGGTCTAGGCATGGAAACAAATACCTCTAATTCACTTTAAGTAGGCCAGGAAATGAGCCACAGAAGGCTATGCATTACAGGATTAGCGTGAAGGAAAGCGTTCAAAGCCAAGGACTTCCACAACAGAAACATTCATTGTCTGCAGGGTCCTGCCCGTCTTGGTCAGGCTCTCAGCTGGTGAAGCCAGTTGATAGAATTTTCGAAATGAAAAGATCTTGTTCCTATTATCATGTTTTATTCAAAATAAAAAGAAAGGAAAAAATTCTAAGAGAAACAAAATAGGCCAAGTCACTGTTTCTGGGGTTCTCCTTTGCCAGTCTTGGGCGGCTTCATTCTCCACAGACGAAGCTCACCTACGAGCAGAAGCAGTGCTCAGACAACAGCATAGAGTTGCTCGAGCCACTCAGGTAATGGTGTTTAGGAGGGGATCAGAGAAGCCTGCGCCGCACCTACAATTGGTAGAAGATTCCCACTCTCAACGGTCAGGCCTCCCAAAGAGCTCCTGGGCAAGCCTGCTGTCAAGCATAGCCACGTTTGTTAGGCTTACTGAACTGCACAGCACGCCAGTTTTGGGTCTCAGCAGTGTCTCAGAAGAGGAACATAAGGAGATCTACATAGTTTTAGGCCTCAGACTAGATTTTCTAAAGTGGGTCTTGCAGTTGGGGAAGTTGTTGGGATCAGGCAGAATTTCTAACCTCCTAGTGTTGAACTGGTGAGCACAGTAAGGTAAGGATTTTAACGTTAGCTTTGAGGAGCCATCTCCTAGTCTTGAGAAGTTAATTATTTTAGTTGGGTTGCAGCCCTATATTGTGGAAATAAGCACTTCCTTGTGAAAGTAGCTAAGCTGTTTTTGGTTGGTCTCAGCACTGTTTAGAACTGAGATAGGAAACTCTGTTTAGTTTTAGCTCTTAACCCTTAGTTCTTCACCAGCTTGAATTAGTACTTGGAGGAAACACTAGGAACTTACTACAGATCTAACCTTATGAAAGTAAAGCCCATGATACCCCTGAATCTTTGCTAGTTGAGAAGTAAGTAACTAGAACCTGAAATGAATATGAGATAGAGAATTTAGAAAGTTTTGCATCCATAGGAAAAATCCTTACCAAAGAGCAGAACAGTGGGAAGGTGAAGAGCACTGGTTCTAGAAATAGCCTGGCTTCAAATCCTCATTCTGCAGTTTACTAGCTGTGTGACACTGAGTCTGGGTCTGATTTTTCTCATTGTTAAAATGAGAATAATACAAGTCCTTTCTACACAGGACATTTTTAGGGTTAGGGGAGCTAATGTATGTGAAGCATTTAGAAGATCACATCCTATCACCAAATGCAAATATTACTGCTTAATAACATAAGTTATTTAAACTAGAAACAAAGTCTTCTACCTGCTGATTTTTTAAGACTAACTTCATCAGCACCTCTTTCTATTTTTCTAGTCTGTTCTTATTTGGACACATGTCACATCAATCTTGGTTTTTCTTGTCTCTAGATCACTAATGTCACTTTCCCAAGTCAATTTCTTGAAAATAAAAGCCATACAACAAATAAAGAGGAATGATACACACTACTCCTGGTTCAGGTACCAACTGGGGAAGCTGAGCATGGAGCACATTTCTTCTGAAGATCAAAGGCTTCTTCCTTATTGGAATTTTGAGTGGCCCAAGCAGCCTCAGAATCCTCAAATCCCTGTTTGGGGGCATAGTTTTCAAAAACCTTTGTTCTCATTGGACACTTCTTTGTTTATATGGATTTATATGAGACAGAAACCCAAAACTGAGATCCTGTGGTTTGGGGAATAAGGTTGTGTGTCTTAGACTTCTAGTTCCATTAAGAGCAGCATATAACTGTCAATATCCAAGTGCTCCTCAGGGGAAACTTGTTTCTCTAAGAATACCAAGGCTGGCCAGGTATCCAGTTTCTTTACCAGTCACTGTGGTCTACAGAAATGTTATTCTACTGTAATTTATTGACATCTGCCTATTTTATATATGCCTACTTGTTGTTATAAATGAGAATCTAGTAAAAAGGACTGAGAAGTGTCGTGTGCGAATAGAGATCAGATACCATCTCTCCCTGGAGCTCTCCTGTAGGGGAGACAGAAGTGTTCATGGAAGCAAATACCACACTGGGCTTCAAATCTTATTGAACAGAAAAGAATCAGATACTCATTCCTAAACTTAGTGGCAAGGGAGTGGAGTTATCATGATAAAGTTTAACTGGCATAGAATAGGGGTCATGGTGCCCAATTCAATGAACCTGCAGGCATGTATTATGCCCCTAGCCATTGTGCTAGGTGCTGAAATATTATTTCATTTAATCCCCAAACAGCCCTGTGAACTAGGTATTACTTTCTTGACTTTCTATAAAAGGAAAAAGAGGCTTGGAGAGTGTTGTGGTTACTTTCTTGTTGCTAAGACACATTACCCAACACCCACAGGTTAAAGAAGGAAAGGTTTATTTAGCTCACAGTTTGTGGAGGGTTCAGTCCATAGTCAGCTGGCTCCAAGGCAGGGCTGCATGACAGAGGAGAAAGAGTTTATGATGTGGCAGAAAGAAGCAGGAAGCAGCAAGCTGTCAAGGCAGGAGTGTTATACACAGTTCTAGGCCACGCCCACAGCAACCCACCCCGTCCCATCACACCCATCAGTCCACTAATTGTGTGATGAGTATCACACACTCGTGATCCAGTCACCTCCCCAGAGCTCCACCAAAGCACATGAGGCTTTATGGGGACATCCAGATACTAAGCAATGACAGCAATAACACCACCACCACCATCATCATCTTCAAGCATTTACTGTAAAATTCCTCATTATTGATGAAGAAGCTGAGGGATGCGGAGAAAATTTCAGGTTTCTACAGAAAGCAAGGGGAAGAATAGAGGTTTAGGCCCAGGAAGTCTGGCTCCAGTGTTTGGCCATTTCACCATATGTGACCGAGGTGATGTATGCTACCAAGGTCACACACACTCATGAAGTCACATATACTACCAAGACAGGTGGAGGAGTCAGGGGTCAAATGTAACTTGGCCTACTTCCAGCGCCCCAAATCTGAATTTTAAGTCTATTCTGTCCTTTAAACCATACACTGTAGCATGACTTCAGGACTCTCAAATATACATTTCACATATTTTTAATTACCAAATTGGAGCTGATAGAATAACTCAGTGGCAGAGCTCCTACCTACCATGCCGTAAGCCCTGGGTTTTAATCTGGAGCACCGCAAAGGATAACAATAATAACAACAAGGCAATGATCAAATTAGCCCCTTGAAAGGTAACACTGTATGCAGAAAAGAGAGCAAAGCCTGGGGCATCTAACTCAAGTCACAGAATTCATAGATGTGTGAAGCAACCTCAAACCCAGATCCCTTGACCCTAAGAACTTTCATTACCCTAATTCCCCTCTCCAGAAGCCCCAACCAGGGCTTCATAATAAGATCAGTCCTTAACCTTGTACATTACCCTTAAACAAGATTATGGTTATGGGCATTTTCCTTTTTACTATGGAAATTTTAGGGATGCACAAGGATAGGTTATCCACAAGCAAACCTTAACCATGGTAGAACTCTGGGCCGACACTGCATCATTCTCTACCCCTTTTATGGTGGTACCTGAACATGACTTAATAATTGATTTGATTAAACACTTGTGATTGATTATTTAATTGTTATTACATACATTATCATTAATTGATAGTGATTAATAGTAATTATAATAGTGATTAAAAACCTGGTCGCTTCAGGTTGCCAATATTTCCCTCACACTCTTTCAACCCCAGAAAAATGATGATATAGACTTTAATGTTGTTTTCCAATAATTTCAGTTACAAAGTGGAAGAGCGGGATGGAGGAGAGCTTGAAGATAAAATGCAAAGGAATGGATACACTGAAGGGAACAGCTTTCTGTGGGTGGAAGAGATCCCCTAAGCTCACTCAGCAAACACCAGCAGGTGAAGACCCACTTCAGGCGTCACCATCGAATGTGTTACAGAGTGCTCATGGGTTTCTTTACCTTCTTGATGGAAAGTTTATAGTATTCACACTTTTACAGCATGAATAGCATTGCCACTTAGGTCTCCCCTTTTCTGAACCCACTTTCATATCTTCTTGGCAGTTAAGGTCACAGCTCTTCCTGGTGGATGAGGGTCTGCCCTGTGCCTGAAGCCCCAGAGAAGAGATTTCACATCCTTTCCAGGCAGGAGCAGCCGTCAGTCAGGACCTCTGTGTGTGACCTAAGTCCTGCTGCTGCAGTTTCCTCCCCTTGCCTGTCCCCTCTGTCCTGCCTTCAGAATGGCTGTGATTAACTTGTCCTCAGCCTCCTGGTCCTAAGGCCAAGCACTCAGTTCTCCCACCTTCCCAGAATAAGCTCTTTGCAGCTTTGTGGAGGACCGTGGCTAGGATTTAGATCCCATGAGCCCAAAAGACCTGTAGGCTTCTCGTGGTGCCATGGGACTGTGGGGCCTATCACCTAGGTTTAAAAATGTTATCCTCTTCAATGGAAAAAATAGTCTTGAAGCCTTGTGTTGTATAGATACCTCCTCTCTTTTGTCATTAGTACTTGTTTATTTCACATGTATTTATCACTAAAGTGTGGTTGCTAGGGTGTGGGGACCGATTTAGTTTCTCCTTAATATTATTTTCTTTATCATTTGACTTTATACAAAAAATATTGTTTAAAAGTTCCCCCACATGTACCAGCATTATTTGATCTCTTGGACATCCTCTTCTAATTTCCAAATACTTTAATACTACAGGCCCATGCTGTGCGCAATGACCTCTGTGATGGAGAATCCATAATTACAGAGCTTCTCTTCAGGGATTTCAGGTGAGCCTCAGTCCTTTTCTGTTCATAGCTTAGCTTATACTTTTTATTTCTTTTGGGCTGAAGGACTGAATTTCAAAGTCAAAAATCTAGGAGCTTCAAAATGACTGTGGCCACCTACTACCTTCCCAAAATAAGTACCCATCAGAGCTAGATTCCATTATGCTTGTTCTAGTATTAATGTTTTCAAATCAAATTTAAGCTTGAAAACAGAAACTCTACAGCTTTGTTCACCAATCCCCAACATATGTTCCCCATCCCCTGCACCCCCCTCCACACAACCAACCCTGCCCCAAACCCACCATGGCATATTAGGAGAAGGAGCAATGGATTCTGGTTGCTACAGGAAATATTTGGGGCTCTGCTTCGTTTTGCTGTCAGCACAGGACTCAGCTTGAGGCAGCTATGGCTTGACTTGCTGTTTTATCTCTTTTTTTTTTTCTCTAGAACTCCCTTGCTCGGCTAAAGGACCCTTCTCTGCCTTCTGCAAACCTCACCTTCAACACCTCTCACGTTCTGCTGGAATTAAATCTCAGTGTCCCACTGTACATGTCTTCGAGGACAAGTGGCCATTTGTAAGTCACTATTGTGTGTGTAGGGTCTGGCACAAAACAGGTGATCTGAAACTCCTGGTGAAAAATGGAAGTGCCCTTCCTAAATATGGGAGTGGGAGGGAGAGGGGCAACATGCTTTCATTTAATGATTATTCACTAGGTCACTCATGTATAGCTCTATTTTCCTTAGAAGCCACTTTGAAGATCCCAAAGTATAGTACAACAACTATTGATAATCTCCTACCTCTTTTGTCTGTAACTCACTATTATTTGTCTATTGGTTTTCCTGAGAAACTATCTTGTAGATAACAACATGTAAAACAACAACCATTGATAATTTTTTACCACTTTGTCTGTAATTTGGTAAGCCCCCCCATTACTATGCTATCCTTCTTTTACTTTTTAAAATAAAAAAATAAAATTAGAAAATAAAATTAGAACATGCAAATTTAACAAAAGTAAACAATAGCAAAAATGCAAATGATGTGCAAAGAATTTAACTAGGTATTAACCTGAAACAGCAAGCAGAAGCACTAAAATGATACCCAGGATTTGGAGGCACATTTATTTACATCAATGGGCACTGATTGGGATCATTCCCAAAATATCAGACCATGATCTTTGGTGGTTTAGGGCTTATAGGGGGTAAGCAAGCAGGAGGTACAAAGGCAGAATGGCTTGTCAATTGGAGATTGGTTTACACAATGGGCATCACGGTGACCAGCTGTTTCTAAGAGACAGAAGCAACTGGAACTGGAACAGGAACTATTACCTGGACATCTAAGAAACTGAAGTATACTGGCCAGGAGGGCATTTTCTGCTACAAACCAAGATTCCAACAGAGTGATCTTCACAGCATACGTGAATCTGTGGATGTATAACAATTATTAAGAATCTGACATGATTTCTGGTGCTCATGATTAAACCTAGTTTCAAATTGGTGATATTTGTGCTAGTGAAAAGATCTTGGACTCCCTGAATCCACCGTTTGAGGACCTTCCCACAACCTGACTGACCACTGACAATGCAGTGGTCTGCCGGCTATACTGCAGAGAAATCCAACAGGACTATCAAAAGTAAACATAATTTGGGAAGAGGCCATGGTCGAGTGACTGTGGGAGGATGCGAGAGACATTCCAGGAGCTAAAAGCCCAATGCTGTGACAAATTGCTCCTGGCTACCGCCTAGCTGCCTTATTCCCAGGGCATCACCTGGAGAACTACAAAGAACAAGCTGGAAGAGAGGGCTCATGGCTGAGGATGGAAAGGAGGTGCTCAGGGAAACCCCAGCTTGTAAAGAAGAGAAGCAGCAGCCAGGGCAGACAATGAGAAATAGTGAAAAGAGAATTGTCATTTGTTTGGGGGGTCAGAGTCTAAATAGATACTTGTGGCCGAGGAGGAAGAGGCAGCTATCTACCACAGGTCTCATACCTAGAAGCCTGCAGCGAGGAGGGTCCTGAGGGGATTTTTGTGGGCAAATGGAAGCCAAGCATGGGCAAACGATTGTATGTGGGCCCTGAAGTGGGCTGTGGCCATGCCAGGTCAGCAGCTCCTAGAAGGAAGCTCCTCCTGCTTCAGTTTCTGCCCCTAGCCACACCCTTGCACAGCCTGACTTCTCGTCCTCGTGAGGTAGGTATAGCCCTTGGGAATGCTGAGGTCCAGAAAGGCCCCCTGGGTTAAGTCAGAACTGTCAAGTTTGAGAAGGGGAAGTGGGTGGAGGGCCAGGAGAATCACTACCAGAATACTTCCATGGCAATGTGTCATTTGTGCAAGGGCCTTGCCGTTGAAACTGAGCTATTCCTTGATGAGGGTATTTGAGATATTAGAAGAATGTTAAGCCTAGCTTGACTTTTTATGCAGCTAAAGAACACACATCTGTCCATTGGATGTTTTCTGCCTGGACTACTTTAAGGGAAATGTGTTGAAGAGTAGTTACTGGATGGGGCATTTTAACTTAGTTCAAAAAGCTTGCATTCTGGAGCCAGAAGGCCTGGATCCAAGTCTGAATCCTACTTTTACTGGTTGTGTAACCACTGGCTCTTTGTGCCTCAGTTTCTTCATATCCAGCTAATACTAGTGCCACTTCACTGGGTTGTGAAGATTTAGATATAACATGGTGCATAGCACTTAGAACGTGCTTAAAGCAGTGTCTGTCTGTAATGGTTGATACATTGCGTCAACTTGAGAAGTTTAGAACTTTTACTAAGAAACTAATACTCCATTCTCTGCAGTATGGCTTATGGAAGAGGAGGGCACAGAGATGGTATGGGTGATAGCCGGCATACAATATAAGGGAGGAAAAGAGGCTTGTCCCCCCTCTGTTTTTGCTCTTGTTGCTTTTGCTGTCTTATGTTGCTTAGAAGTGCTGCCCCTGTGCCGTGCCACAGTGCCTTGGAGCTAGCTAAATAAATGTTTCCCCTTTAACTTTGAGTATTTGGTATTTTGTCTCAGCAATGAGAGAAAAGTAAATAAGACAGAAATTGGTACCAGATGAGTGGGGTCATTGCTGTGACTGTATCTGACTATGTGGTTCAGGAGCCTTTGGGAATGGCTTATGGGAAGAGTCTGGAAAGATTTGGGGATGACAGCTGAAAGAATGCAGTTGGAACACCTTACCCTGTTCTATATGGGAGATTCTGGTCAGAGCTCAGAAGACCAGAAGGCTGATAGAAATTTTGCAGGTAAAGATCAGGTTTGGGAGATTTCTGGTGGGAAGAAGGACTGCAGTGGCCATTAGACTCCAGACAATGTGTGTTATGGATTGGCAGAAAGCTTATCTGCATTTTGCTCCTATCCAGAGACTTTGCCTGACACTGAGATTAAGGTCAGTGGGCTAATTAATCTGGCACATGAAATTTCAAGGCAGTCAATTGTTGAGGTGGTGGCCAGATCTATGTTGAGAATCAAGAGCAAAGAGCCCAGCAGAATGATTTAAAATATTGTGTTTGTCCAGAAAGGAAGCTTCAGTAAAGCTGTAGGCTACAAAGATAGAGTTGATGAAATCTTGACTGCTGAGAAAGACCAGGAGAATAGAAAAGATGGCCTGAAGTCATCACAAGAAGCAACAAGTCTCCACCCTTTGCAGCCTCAAAACTGCAAAGGTGAAAGACTGCTTTGAGGAGAAAGTCACAGACCACCATGTTTTAGAATGGCAGTGGCATAGAAAATTTGATCCTAGGAATTGGATTCAAAGTGCCCAACAATCCAGTTATTCAAACCCTACAGCCAAGAGAGAGGAAAGCCTGGCTACTGCTCCTGTGGCAGCAGACCTTGGCATCATCCAAGTGGTGCTGTTTTAGGTGCATGTAGAATGCAAGAGCTGTGGGGTTAAGAAGGCTTCCACCCCAATTTCAGAAGGCCTAGGAAGGCAGGCAGTGTGCCCCTGAGAGGGCAATGTGTGAAGCTGTGAGGGTGAAGCCAAAGATGTAATGAAGACCCCAGAAGTTTGGAAAACCCAGGAAAGTGGATCATTTAAGGAAACCTGCAAAGAGGGAGCAAAACCAACCCACGAGAGAAGCCATGGGAGCTTCTGGAAATGCCATAGTGGTGGATCCACTCAAGCCCTTTGGAGCTCATAACTTGCCACAGGTTGCCTCAGATGTTTGCCCTGCTGTGTTGTGGACTTGCTTTGGTCCCATTCCTTTGTATTGCTGCTTGCAACTTTTGGAATGAAAATGTTTATTGTGTGCCATTGAATGTTGGAAGTGTCTAACTTTTCATTTGTACAGGGGCTTGCAGCTAAGAGTTTGCCTTACATCTAGGAGATTTGTGATTTGGACTTTTCAGCAATGCTGAAACTATTAGGACTTTGTCAACTCTTGCAGATGGACTAAATGCCTTTTACATAGATGTGCATTAGTCTTTGGGGGAGGTAAAGAACAAAATGCTATGGTTCCAATGTAATTTAATGTTGATAGACTTAATACTGGCTCTTAAAGATTGTTAACCTGTGTTGTAATGTTTCAATTGTGAAATGTTAAGAATAAGCACGTCTTTGTATCTGGAAACCAGTTTAAAGAAATGTGTGTGGTGGTCAATTTGACAAGGGGTGGATTGTTATGATTGATACGTTGTATCAACTTGAGAAGTTTAGAAGTTTAAGTAAGAAACTTAGCAAGGAGCCAGGGCCCTTACTTTGTAAACATCCTGAACTTGTGAGAGAGGAGGGCACAGAGATGTATGCTGGTAGATAGCCAGCATACAATATAAGGGAGGAAAAAAGCCTTGTTTCCCCTCTGTTTTTGCTCTTGCTTTTGCTGTCTTCTGTTGCTTTGAAGTGTTGCCCCTGTGCCATGCCACCATGTTTTGGAGCCAGCTGATTATGGACTGAAGCCTCCACAAACTGTGAGCTAAATAAACCTTTTCTTCCTCAATTTTGGGCATCAGGTATTTTGTCTCAGAATGAGAGAAAAGTAAAAAAGATACTGTCTTAACAAACATTGTAGATCTGTCTACTCAAGGGTTTGCTGGGGGTCTCTGCTCTACACCAGAGGGTTAAAGCTGCATTGATTAGGCAAATGTGGATCTGAGCTAGTTAAACCATCATCTCATTTTGTTGCTAAGCAACCAGCTCTGAGTTCTGCAAATGTACATTGCCGTGTGCAGTGGCTGCCCCTAGCAATTGAGACTCTAGTCAGGCTGTTCCTCAGCCTTGTTTTTATATGACTTAAGAGCTCATTTCAAATTGTGGAGGAGGAGGGAGGCACACACAGGCAGCAAAGCCAGAAAGCATGAGTCAGATCAGTCTCTCTGGCTGGAGGAGCTCACAAAGGGTGAAAATATAAGAAAACAAGTACACTGACACCCACTTGCAGCAAGGAGAGAAGACATTCACAGGAGTTGTTCCTCCCTAGGCGTAAAGATTATCACCCATCTCCTGAGTAGTATTCTCCATGCACGGGGGGGGGCGGGGGTGCATCTCACGTTCTCTTATGTTTGGGTCTGGGGTTGCCTGGCTTGAGTGCAGACCTAGAAATGTGGGTCCACATCGGGAAAGACAGGAGGGAAAGCACCTATGGTGGCTCTGCACTCCCTCCTTCAGGGAAGTCACAGGGCACAGTCACTGATTTCAGAACAGTTTTCCCCTCAAACATTCATTTATTAATTCATTTACTCACCCACATCAGTAAACATTTAGAATTTAGAATTTAGAACCTCTTATATACCCAAGGTCTACTAAGCACTGAAGATGAAATCCAAAGCAAGACAATTACTCTTTCTTTTCCTGTTTCTTAGTTAAGAATAAAGAAACCTTTTTAAAAGAAAAATGAACATGCTCTAGCTAGCTTAATAGATACTATATTTAATGAAGGGTAGGAAGAAACTTACAAGATTTCCTTAACAGCTAGTTAGGGTAGGTGGCTGATCAGCCAGGAACACTGTAGAAAATTCAGTTATGGATTGTTCCAGAAGAGGACTTACTGTCTCTGCATCCAGGCACACAGGCTCTACAGCTCACAGCACTGTCCTGGGCAGGGAGACCTCTGCCCCCGGCTTCCTCTAAAAGCTCCATTTCCTGCCACCCTTAATGATGATTTCATATGACATTTTTTCTTCACTAAGGTCTGGCATTGATGCACATTATTAGTGGAGCCTGGGTCACATGTTCAACCTCTGGCTGCAAGGGAGGCTGGGAAATACACTTCTGACTTCTATTTCTGAAATGGAAATTCCTGTAACAAAGGCGTTTGAACATAATCTCTGCCCTCTTGAACTTTACAGTCTTGTAGAGAATTCAGGCAAATAAATGGAATAGGACAGCCTGGTGTGACCAGTGCAGGGCCAGGGGAAGTGCAGATTCAGGAGGACCCCAGAAGGATCCCCAGTGGACAATAGGGTTGGCAAACACTCCCCAGAGTCAGCAATGTATAGGCAGGCACTTGAAGGTGAGAGTGAGCTCACAATGGTGATGGTGGAGGGACAGAGAACATCCTGATTACAGGAGGGATATAGACAAAAATCCAGTGTCACAAGGGAGCACAGTGTAAGGTGTTCAGGGTAGGAACAGACTTTCCATGTGACTGGAACAGAGGAGGAGAAGAAGACCAAGTGCCAGTTTAGAAAGCCCTCTGAAAGGTTCAGATAGATGCTGAGGTTGGGGAGGTGCTTTAAATAATAGGCTTATATTGCTTTTTGAATTTTCAGTGTTGAATATTATTGACTGATTCCCACGAGAAAAAGTGAGCAGACTTCCCCTACCCTCTCTCACATCTCCAATGTTGTAATTTAGGTTAGATCACTACTCAGAACTCATGTTTGTATAACTATTGAAATGCTATTCACAGCTGTATTTGTAGCATAATACCACAGCTATTTTTCCTTTCCCACACAAACCTTTGTTTTTCATTAACAAATAGCTGTTTCTCCTCCAGTTGCTGAATTTTCTTCCTACTTACCACTTATTCACCCTCAAACTCTGCTCACCAGTGTTTATCTTTCTAGATACAATTACTTTGGTTATTACAACAATTTCATCATTTTGTTTTGTTTTAGGGTATTGGGGATTGAATTCAGAGGTGCTCTACCACCAGACAACCTCCTTGGCCTTTTTTATTCTTTGAGGCAAGGTCTTGCTACATTGCCCAGACTGGCCTGGAACTTGTCATCCTCAGCCTCCTGAATAGCTTGGATTACAGGTGTGTGCCACCTCACCTGGCCAGTTTTATGCCTTAAAGTTGTTTTTAAATTTTTATTTACTAGTATATTTTCCCAGTACATAGTGTTTACATTTATCATGGGGAGCCGGTATATATATACAATACATCTTAACTTTTCTCCCTTTTTTTCATTCCTGAGCCCCCCTCTCTTTCCCTATTCCTCTAGTCTGGACTGCAATGCTCTTTAGGCCTGGACCACAGCTGTTGTCTCAGGTTTTGTCTCTCTAGCCCCTGATGTATTAGTTAGGTTTCCTGTCACTGAGGTAAAATACCTGACACCTACAATTTACAGAAGGAGGGGTTTATTTGGCATACAGTTTAGGTGGGTTCAGTCCATGGACAGCTCTCTCCAAAGCAGAAATAGCAAGATAAAATTGGAAAGCTGTTCACCACATGGCAGCCGAAAAACAGAAGAGAAGGGAGGAAAGGAGGAGCCAAGGACAAGAATACATCCCTGTAGGACACGTCCTCTGTGACCCTTCTCCAACCGGGCCCCAACTCCTAACACCACATTCAGCCAGGAATTCACCAGTGGATTAACGTCCTGATGAGTGCAGAGCCCCCATGGTCCATTCACTTTTCAAAATCCCACCTCCAACCGCAGCAGATGTTTGGGGGACATTTTAGATATGAACCATGACACCTGGATTTCCAGGATGCCACAATCGCCCCTGTCTTGCTTAACTCTCTCATTTCGGAGGGGCTTTCAAAGAATCTATCTGTGGTAAGCTGAGGTCCTGAGCACTGAGAATGCCTTTATTCTACCCTCATTCTTGAAGAATAGTGTGGCTGAGGGTAGAGCTCATAGCTGGAAATAATTTCTTTCAGAATATTGACATTCTTGTTTCCTTGTCCTCCAATGTTTTAGCATCTCCAGGGGTGCTAAGAAACCTGAAGCTATTATGGTTTTTAGACCTTTTTCTTTTTTTGAGGCAGGGTTTCACTATGCAATTCAGGCTGGCCTTGAACTCACAGCAATACTCCTGCCTCAGCCTCCTGAGTGCTACAGTTACAGGTGTGAACCACTATGCCTGGAACTAGACTTTTAAATGTGACTTTTTCTATATTTTTAACTTTCTTAGTACCCCCTCCTGCCCATCTAACTGCCCTCCTGTTATTGTATGGTCTTCTCTTTGCCATGAATGACCTGAAATTCCACAGTGCCATGTCCTAGTTGGATCTATGTTCATCCACTGTTCTAGGCACTCTTGGCCCCTTTCAGTCTGTGAGATTTTGCTCTAAGCCATAGTCTTGAATTATTCCTTAAATATTTCTTCCCTATATTCTTTTCCTTTTCTTTCTCCTTGGACATCATCATTTGAAAGTGGAGGTCCTGGACTAGGTCTGTGTCTCTGTTTGTGGTGCTAGGATTGAACCATACCTGCTAGCAAATGCTCTACCACTGAGCCGCACTCCCAGCTCACCTCTCTCTCTCTCTTTCTCAATACTTTCCCCACCTCTTTGTCTTTTTCTCATCTTCCTCAGAGAATTCTTCAGTTTTATCTTCCAGCCTACTTGAACTTTCATTCCTGCTGTGTCATATGGCCAATAATAATATTTTCTTTTTGCTTTCTAAATTTTGTCAGTTTTCTTCTTTCTTTCTTGTAAATTTTCTCTTTACACTAAGATACAGTAAGTTACCTGTGAATTTTAGGCTACATCATAGTTCATGTTTTCCTAATGTGTCTGGTGGTTCTCAATGGGAGGAAGGCAATGAGAAGGTGCCTGTGTGAGCTCTGTGTGCGTGGCTGAATCCCCAGATTTAACACTTCTAGGCCTGTTCTCCTGGGATGGTCAAATTCCTCAGAGAGGATTATTCCAATCTCCTGCCTAGAAGGTTCGAAATCCAGAACACAGAATTTCCCAGAGGACTCAGAGACCTGGGTGTTTCTGGAAGTTGGCCCACTTATCTGGTACCAAGAATGTTTACGTCTCTATCTCTTCCTCTACCTCTACCTCTGCCTCTACCTCTGCCTCTACCTCTACCTCTATATATGGGACTCTGTTAAGTTCCTTGTCTTCTCCATCTCTTCACCACCACTCCAAATCAGAATGAAATCCAAAGCACTTCAGGCTCTTGCAGTGTTGTGGCCATTATCAGCAGAGTTACTGTTAGGTCATCTGCCATGAACTTGGGCTATATTAGAAAAGGAATGGGAGTCAGAGGGAGAAAACAGGTTCTAATCCTGGCCCTTCCATTTGCTATTTACCTGGCCATATGCGATCATTTTGCTTCTCTAGATCTTTGTTTCCTCATCCGTAAAATGGATATATGTGCCTTTCCCATTAGTCCAAAGAATCATGGGAAGGTCACATGAGTTAGTGTGTGTGGAAGTTCTTGTCCAATATTAGGGAAGTTGCAAAGGTAAACTTTAATATCCTTAAGGCCATGCCTAACAGAAAGCAAAGGAGATGTCTGTTTTGACGTTTGTAACCCTTCTACCTCTGGTCATTTCTATATCAATCCCTATAAAGATTATCTAATCTCCATAAGAAAAGTTGGGGACATAAATTACTTGACCACAGTGGTGTGCATTTATTGAATGAATTACCTCCCAGGGCATTTTAATTTTAAATAAATGAAAACAAAGACCAAAGGAAAAAACACCATGGGAATGAACTTACAATAAAGAGATGCAGACATAGAGAAAACCAGTGAGTGGGACTATATGGGGGACAGGAGCAGAGAAAACTTCCGTAAATCTATGCGTCCACTTTGTCTACGTCATCAGAGAAGATCAATGCCTTTGAGGGGTGCTCTTGGGCCTCTGGTCAATGTCAAGGGCCTTTGTCATGCTGAGAGGATGGACAGTTGAGAAGTTTGATGGGATATCAGGACTGCCAGTGGGTGGACTCTACCTAAGTGTTCAAAGCTGCCTGCTAGGTGAGGAAGCAGCACGTATGGATTACTAACAGCAATTTGGCCATTTCTGGACAGCTGTCAGCCTTTGGCGGGCCTCCAAGACTGTGCACAGTGAAGGAGACGTGATTGCCCTACAACATGACAGAGGCAAGGGTGTCTCAGCCCTTCCGTGCCCCTCTGTCTCTAGCTGGCATTGTCTGAGCCTCTTTTCCCCAGTCTTTCTCTTTTAAAAAGAGTGACTCCATTTCTACCCAGGAACATTGCAAACGGCCTTGGGACCAAGGTCTATAGCGGGAAATATGACCTTGGAGGATCACAGAACCTAAAAAAAATACAGTCAGCCTTCCTCTAAACGCTAGTTTTTCAAACCTCTCCTCAGAATTTTATTAGATCTTTCAAAGCAAGGAGACAAATAAGTGCGTATTTACGGTAGCATTGGGGATCACTGTGGACTTGGATCCCAATCCAGTAGAGTCTGGATACCTTGGCTCTGCAAGTCGAGTGGTCACTATGCTGGGCCTCGGGGTAAAGCTGCCCTTTGTGGCCTGTCTTGGGGCACCTGCTCCATACCAATGTGGCCGCCTTCCACCCAGAATGCTTTCTCTTCCTCCCAGAGGGCATTCTCTTCCTCCCAGAGGGACTTTTTATCCTCCCACAGGGCCTTCTCTTCCTTAAGGAGGGCTCTTTCCTCTACCCACAGGGCCTTTTCTTCCTCCCATAGGGCCTTGTCCTCCTGAAGAAGTTTTCGGTCTTTTTCCCATAAGGCATTGTCCTCTTTCCAGAAGGCCTTATCCTGCTTCCAAAAGGTACGGTATTTTTTCCAAAATGTTTTTTCTTCTTCCCGGAAAGATTTTTCCATTTCCCAGAAAGTTTTTTCCTCTTTCCAGAAAGTCTTTTCCTCTTCCCAGAAAGGTTTCTCCTCTTCCCCAAAATCCAACATCTGGCCCCGGAAAACACAGATCTTGCCTCGGAAATTCTGTATCTCTTCCCTGAAGTCTTCTATTTTCTTATGGAAAATCTTCATCTCTTCCCGAAAAGTCTTTTCCTCCTGCAGCTTGTAAATTAGTTTCTCCTGTCGAATATTGGGTGGGACTACCATTGGCCGGAGGCAAGCAGGTCCCATCCATTTGCTCACCTTGAAGGAAAACATCTTCTTCATCAGCCAGATTGATGAAATGGCCATCACAGGGGACAGGGCTCCTGGCCAAGTCCTGATGGCTGGTTACACCCTGTGGGGACACCAGAAAGAACATGTCCATGACTATCACAGGCCGGGGGATAGTGCTTGGGTTCATACTTTTGTTCTCCTGTAAATGGTTGTGTGTAAAGGGCAAGCTTTGGTAAAGAAACATATTGAAGGGTCATGGCTTTGAGCTGGTCAGTACATTCAAGCTCAAGGCTGTTCAAAACAGAATCCCAGCCAACAATAGTGGTTTTAAACCAGGGAATCAGCACATATGCAGGTGATATATTTTGTTTTAAAGTAACAAAGCATTACAGCCCTAATAGAGTTTACTTTTGTTAAGTCACTCAGAATTAATTTAAAGTTTTGGCCTTCTCACTTGAGGATTATTCACATCCTCCTTATGGGCCTGCTCACAGCAATGTGCCTCACGTGCGAATGTTCTCTGCTACAAACCACTGGGGAATCTGAGGCTCAGACCCACTGGCCTAGCGGGGTCTGTTTCAGTAGGAGACTCTCTTTTGGCAACAGAAGTTTAAAGCAAAAAAGTGACACAACAATAAAGGTTGGAGAAGATGTGGAACAAGAGAACATTCATGTGATATCAAATAATATTGAAAAATACTGAAGATGTCTATGAGTCAGCAGCTCCACTCCCAGATACGAGCCCTGACAAAACTCATGAATGGTGATCAGGATATGCATACAAGCATCTTCAAGGAATTTTGTTCATAAGAGTTCACTCTGGAAACAATCCAAAGTCCATCACTATAAAATGGAATAAAATCCATGCAATAGACAGCATGGCTATGTATAACCACACCAATGAATCATATACACAGTGTTGAAAGACAGAAGCAACCAGAATCAAGGGATTTCATAGAATAAGGTTCCAAAACAAGCAAAACTAAACTGTTGTTTAGGGAGGTGAATATACCAGGTGACAACACAGAAGAGCAAGGAAATGAGTTGCATGGTCAGGATAATAGTTATTGGGAGTGGTGGACAGTAAGTAGAAAACACACAAGGCACTTCAGAGTGGTCGGTAGCATTCCATTTTTTCTCTAGGGTAGTAGTTGTTTGTATATCATTGTAAAAATATGTTCACAATAAAATAAGTGGTAATTGAGGAAAGGAAGAGGGAGTGAGAGAAGCAGTGAAAGAGGGAGGGGCAAGGAAAAAGAGAAAGGGAGAGAGAGGAGAAGGAGAGAGAGCTCAAAGCACTGCCATCTATCTGAGGTATTGGATGTCAGAACTATCCACAAAAATTCATGTAACTACGAAGGTGGGTGAAGGGACGAGAAAAGGGCTGGGTGCAGGACGGTGGGTAGAGCACAGGCAGACAAGGGCTGGTGTACACAGGCAGTGGTTTCCATCCTGTGCTTCCTGGAGGAAGCTGCCAGGGTCCGGTCCTGCTCAGTAGACTCACGAAGCACCACACTGTGGAGCCATGAGAGACCAGTGGGGAGATTCTCCTGGCTTTCCTTTGTTTTTCACTTCTGGCTAGGGAATATGAGGTGGGAGAGAAGGAAGAACACACAGCTGGAGTGTGTGTGTGTGTGTGTGTGTGTGTGTGTGTGTGTGTGTGCACACATACATGACCAGACAGTGGCTATGCTTGGGCAGCTAGTGGCACCTCCATTCCCCCAGTCACACAAACCACAAACCTGTGGCTCATCTTTCACCTCCTCCTCTCATGATGGTGTTTATTAGTCATCAAGCCCTATCAGTTAAGACTTCTAACACCTCTTAGAACCACGCCCCTGCTCCATCTCTTTCATCATGGCCGGTCCAGGCCAGGACACCTGCTCTTGCCTAATCAACCTCTATGGCACTGATCTGACGCTACTGTTTTTCCCCTACACTGTAGCTCCAGGGGTTTCTAAATACTGTCCTGTTGTATTACACTTGCTTACAACACTTCAAAGACTCCACAGACCAAAGCTCTCTCCCTTTACATGGTCACTCCCTTTGCATTCCTCCCCACTCTCCACTCCACTCCAAATCTAAGTTGTAGCAATAGTGAGCTACACCAGTTCTCTGGACACAGCCTGAGATTTCCTGCCTCGCACCAAAGCACACACGGTGTCCTCTACTCAGCTTCCCTGTTTCTCCTGTGTGGGCTTCAATCCCTGTTCCTTTCTTCCTCTGAAAGCTCCCTCGACTCTCCAGATAGAACTCTTCTCCACCTCCCTGATGCTGCCTCTCTGCATCCTCCTATCGGCCCTTGTCTTCCTGCCATTTCTGTAACCCAGCACCTAAAACATAGCTATGCATGTATCTGTGATATAAAAATGTTGGTTGAATTGAGCTGAGTTTGTTTTGAAACTTTGATTTCTGTACAGTATATTATGGCTCTTTGTCTAGAATTCCTCAGAGGTACCAAGGTCTTCATTTGCACTTCATTTTGGTCTTTCCTCCTGGACAGCCTGGCTAGCTTCATTTTGTCCACTAATCTTTCAAGATTCAGATACGGAGTCACCTCGAGGCAGCCTCTCCTAACACCCTGTCACCAAACTCAGACTCAGCTGTCCCTCCTTTCCCTCATCTCCCACCATCTGGGTACAGAACAGATGCTTGGAAAATGCCAGCTAAATGAGTGGCCGTCCCCTGGGTTAGAATGTTGGAAAGAGTTCTTCTCCAAGAGTTCCACAAGGTATCACTAAATTATCTTTGAGAAAGAGATAAACTATGTACCATATCAAATATGTAGATGTACAATTAGAAAAAATTACAACCTAAAATTGGCCATACGTATCTACGTAGATATCAAAAACATGAATTGAACATACCTAGTCTTCATAATCACACTTCAAAACTAGGATTGATCTAACATACTATACAATACTATATAACCTAAAGCCAACAGCTACTTACAGCTTAGCTGTTTCCCAGCAGGCCATGCACTATAGCCCTCAGAAGGCAAGCGGCCATTGTGGTGTCAGAGCCCTGGTGATGCGCGCTCACAGCCTTGCCTGTCGTGACCCCTTTGTGCCCTCTCCTTTCTGACTAATAGGATGGAGGGGCCCCAGAGGGGGGTCCAAATAAGAGACTTTATGGAGAGGAGACAGCACCGAAACGCTTGAAAGCCTTCATCTTTTCCTATCTTTCACTTCACTGTGGGTGGCAGTGTTGACCAATGACTGTTACCTCATATTCAGCCTGGATTGTTTCCAGGAAAGTGCTTCTGAAAGATCATGTTTCAGGGCAGGATCTGCAGGTGATAGAGTATTTCTCCTGCTGCTTTCAAGACTCTCTCTTTGTCTTTTGATAGTTTAACTGTGATACGTTTTGGTGTGCTTCTTTGTGTTTGTCCCGTGTGGAGTTTGTTGGGATTCTTGGGCACTCTGACTTTATGCAGGTTTTCACCAGATTTGAAAAGGTTTTGGCTATTATTCTTCAAATATTCTTCTTTCCTCTTTCTTTTCTCTCCTTCCAGGAATCGTGTTATGTGTATGTTAGTAAGCTGAGGGCATCCCATAAATCTCTGAGGTCCCATATTTTCTTTTTCCTTTCTGTTGGATGGACTGGACAGTCTCAGTTGATATTTTCAAATTCACAGATTTTTTCTTCTGTAAGTTAAATCTGCTGTTGAGCACCTCTAGTTTTTCATTTTTAACTCTAGAATTTCATTTGTACATAGTGAGAATTCTGTGAATTAACCTGCCTTCATTTTGCATAATTATCCCCTTCCTTGTGCATATGTCAAGAGCACCCAAAATCTACTCTTGGCAAAAATCTTGAAGATAATACAATTCTATCTCTAGAATTATTCATCCTACATACTGGTTACTCTGTATTTTTGACTTAGATCTCCCCATCTTCTTCCTTCTTCCTGGCCTCTGTAAACCACTGTTTTATTCTGTTCCTGTGTACCTGACTTTCTTTTTCTTTGTGGACTTCACATATATGTGTGATCATGCAGTACTTTTTCTGTGTTGGGTTTATTTTACTTAACATAATGTACTTAAGACTTATCCATGTTGTGACAAATGACAGGATCTGCTTAAGGCTGGACACCATTCCTCTGTGTGTGTCTGTGTGTATACATATGTCATTATTTATTGTGTAGTCATTCATCACTGGCTCCTTAGTCCATCCAGAATTTCTCCAAAAATATCAATTGTGGCTCCAGAATTATTTTTACTTCTCCTCTTCGTCCTCCTCCCCCTCTTCCTCTTCCCCCTCCTCCTCCTCCTCTTCCTTCTTTTCTCTCTTTGCCCCTTCTATATATTTTTTCCTTTTATTAATAGTCTCTATGGGTGAAACATAGCTCTTATGTTTTCTTTTAATTCTTTAGGCATGTTGTTTTTCCAGGTCTTTGACCATACTTATAATAATAACTGATTTTAAATCTTGGTCTAGTAGGTCCAAAGTCTGCCTTTCTACAGAGATAGTTTGTAATCAAAAGCAAAACACCTTGGTGAATAATATTTTCTATTGATTGCTTTTTTCCCCGTGTGACCCATTTTTCCTGATTTTTTGGTATGTCTCCAACAAAGTTTTTGAAGTTGAACATTTAAAATAATAATTTAAGTAACGTGCTGACTCTCAAAATGAAATTTCTCCTCCCAGAAATTAACATTGGTTTACTATTTCTTTGTTTAGTGAGTTTCTGAATAATTTTGTAAAGTCTTTATCTTTTCATGTGTGGCCACCTGAAATCTGCTTGATTAGCATAGTGACCAGCTAATGATTGGACAGAAGTCTCCCTTTGTTGAGGGACTTGTGTGTGTGTGTGCCTTTAATGCTCAAGTTTTTTGTTTTTTTCTGGTACTGGGAATCGAACTCACGACCTTGCACTTACCAGGCAGGCACCGTGCCACTGAGCTAAATCCCCAGCCCCCAATGCTCAAGTTTATAATTCTGCCTCAGGCTTCCTTTCTGCTTGTGTAAAACCTCAAGTTCAGACTAAGGTAAAGAGTTCTTTCTTGGGCACACGCAAGCACATACACTTGACCTTCGTGGTTTGCAGGAATATAACAGACTTCAAACATTTCAAGGTTTCTATCTCATTCTCCAGTTTTTCTTTTCAAGTTATTGGTCATCCTCTGGATAGCTCCAATTTGTAACTTGTAAGATACTATGGTGTTAATTCCTACTAACTTCCCCCACCACACACACACATACACAGTGTCCTGGGGAAAAACTGTTTGTACAGAATAAGCTTTGGGTCAGGTTACATAAACAGAAGTCCTGTGAGGGAAGCTTTTCAGTGAACTACCAGCAATTCTTGGGGCAGGAATATTGGGGGCTTCAAACCAAGCCTACCCCTTGGCCGTTCTAAAGTCTTGATCTTTGGCTTTGACTACTTTTCTAATAATAGGAGCCCCACCATCCTCGTAAAGGACACATTCCATGATTCCCAGGGGAGCCTGAAAGTAGGAATCATACCAAATTTTCTCTGTACTATATTTTTTCCTTAAGGTCATACTTACATTAGTTTAATTTATAAATAAGTACAATAAGAGATTAACAAGAATGATAATAAAATAGAACAATTAAAGCAGTATACTCTAATAAGTTATATGAGTATGAGCTCTCGCTTTCACTCTCAAACATCTTATATTTTCATCTTTTTTACCTAATGGAAACACTGAACAGCTTCTCTTTGTCATATCTGAATTGCCAGCCATCATCACTTGCATTCTGGGGCCAACATTAAATGAGTTACTTCAGTGCAAGTATTGCAGTACCACAGCAGCTGATCTGATGACTGAGATGGTGACCAAGTGACTAAAGGACACGTGGTGTACACTGGACAGAGGGATGATCCGTGTACTGGGTGAGAAGGAGGAATATGACATGAGAGTTCATCGTCATGTTCAGAATGGTGCACAATTTAAAACTTATGAACTGTTTATTTCTGGGATTTTGTATTCATTTGTTTTATTTGCTTGCTTATTTATTTATTTGGTATTGGGAGCAATATCCCCAGAGTACCTGCAGCCATAGAAAAGTGAAACTAGATCATGAGAGAGCTCCAGCTCATTCTTAAGACTACCGATTTCCCTCTGGACTTACTGCATCTCATGTGTTTTGGTAAACAGGGTTTTAATGACTGTTCAATTAAACTAATTTTTTTGCTTTTCTTTCTTTCTTTCTTTCTTTCTTTCTTTCTTTCTTTCTTTCTTTCTCTCTCTCTGTCTCTCTCTGTCTCTCTCTTTCCCTCTCTTTTCTCCTTCTTTCCTTTTTCTTTCTTTCTGTCTTTCTTCCTTCCTTTCTGGCACCAGGAGTTGAACTCAGGACCTTGCACTTGCCAGGCAGGAGCTGTTCCACTGAACTATATCCCTGGCCCTTTATTTTCTATTTACAATTATATTACATAACTGATTTCTACTTCAGCTCCACTGTGGTCTGTCTCTCTGCACAGACTTTATGGTTGTTACACTCTGATTTCAGTCTTTTCCATTTACGAAGGCTTGCCCTATGGCTCTCCATACATTCAGTTTTGGTAGATGATTTGTGTCCACTTGACAGGCAATTAGAGTGGCAGCTGCCTGGGAGGTAGGCATGACCTGTTACTTATAAAATCCTAGAGCACGTGTGTAGGAGAGTTCCCAAAGCCCTACACATGGACTTCCTGCTAGAACTGGCAAAGATTTTCAATAGGATGGCCTAGACCTGGTGTCAGCCCAAGAAGGGGAGCCAGCACCACTCTCAAAACTTGTATGTAGAAGTTTTCACCTGTTTCCTTGAGATTTGGACAGTATAAAGCACACAGACACCAAGAAGTGCTTGCTATCGTGACTTTCTTCACAATAGCCTGCCCTGTATTCTTCAGGGTGTTCTTTTATTTTGCCTTTTCCTTCCACTCAACCCAAGCTTACTGTGCAGAGCCAGTTTCACTTTCATTCTTAACATTTACTTTTTCAATAACTTTATCAGTGGTTTTGCTTGTTTCATTCAATTCTTTGTGCAAGACTAGAAGAACCTGGAATCCAGCTCCAGAAGGAGAGTCGAACAACCCAGAACAGAGTAACATTTACCTGGGGAGCCACTTTTAGAAGGGGCTACCTGATAATACATCTAAAAAATAATTGATATTGTGCAGTTGTTTGATGCAGTTCTCTCTCTCTCTCTCTCTCTCTCTCTCTCTCTCTCTCTCTCTCTCTCTCTTTCCCTGTGTGTGTGAATTTAGGTTAAGTTTTTAACTGTGTTGTTAAAATCTCCTATACTCTTATAGATTTTTTTCCTGGCTGCTTGTGTTATCAGAAAGAGAGAAAGAGAGAGAGACAGAGAGAGAGAGAGAGAGAGAGAGAGAGAGAGAGAGAGATAGGCAGACAGAGGCAGAGAGACAGAGACTGAGATTCCCTTTTGGACAGTTTTTGTCTTATACACTTTGAGGATGTGTCATTAGGTGCATTGATATTTACAATTGTTATATTTTCTTGGTGTATTGTTACTTTTGTCTTTTTAAAGTTTCCACTTTTTTATCTTAGTAATATTTCTTTCCTTAAGTTCTATTTTGATCCTAGCAAAGTCACATCAGCTTTCTAGGATTTGTATAGTATATCTTTTCCAATCTTTCATTTTTTGATCAGGGCTAATTGGAGCTCTGTATGGCTCACTTAACTGTAGGCTTTAAATTCTTTTTCCCTGCCATCTATCCTTTCATTTTGAAACTTCTGTGTCTTTATATTTAAAATGTGTTTCTTGTATGCACCATATAGTTGAGTTTTGGCTTTTCTGTTCTGATGTAATTCATCATTTATTGGAATATTCTTATATTTATATTCAATATAATTACCAATCCGTATTAGATTTGAATCTATTATGATTTTCCTAATACTAGCTGTTGAAAGTTTTTTTCTTTCAGAGTAATAAAGTAGTTTTGTCATTCCATTTTTCCTGTATTATTTCATTAGTCATATGTTATTTTATGATTACCCTAGAGATTATAATAGGCATCCTTACCTATTAAAGTTTAATATATTTCTAATTTTATTACTTCCTAAAAGCTTAGATGGTTTTAACTCTATTTA